AGTTTCTTTGCTTAAATGCATCGTTTTATAGAAGCAACAGCTCATAAACATAGAAAACTACATATCCCATGATTCATTTCAGTGCAGATAACATGAAGATATTTGTTTTTTACTTGAATTCTTCGGATTATGACAGTAAAAATTCACATAAAAATCTTGTCAAGGTATTTTAAAAGCAAGAAAGTGTCCCAACTACAATTATAACTGCCTCTTCAAAATATCACAATAAATATCGTACCGAGAGATGCATATTGTGCTGTGAGAGTTGGATATCGTTATATTCCTACTATTCAGTATTTTAACAATGCAGGAGGAGGATCTAGCACAAAACATGACTGACCAATAAAATGAACCATAAAAGGGCAGTCCTATCTTTTTATACCCTTGTTTGTAATATTCCACTTGTCCTTAAAGGTCCTATATTACGCAAAATTTACTCCTGTGAGCTTTTTTTGAATGGTGATACCTTGTCAAAAATATGCCCAGAGTTGTGTTTTGTTCACACATATTTCAGTAATCCTTTATTATTAGTCTGTCTACATCTCCAAAGCTCAAAATGAAACAACTGTGGGTATGTTTGTGATGAGAAAACTACATTATAACATACAGAAAATAGTGTAACATGGGCCTTTTAATAGTTTGAATAGTTTAAAGATATATTCAGTTATGTACTTTTGTGCACCTCCAAAACAACTAGAACAATATTTATTTTTTTGATACATATCTCCCACTTTTATAACCACAACATTGCTCCTTTGTAATAGTTCTGTCCTCTAGTGAATGCGTGTGAGGTCGGGGTGATCCTGTCTTACTGCAGTCTCCTCTGTTACATAACTTTAATAATGTAACATCACTGGGGCATCAAGAACAAGTGCTGCTTCAGTCCTGTTTCATACTCTGTTCAGATGCAGTACAACCCTTAGACTTCTAATATTTTTGAACCGTTTTTGAAGTTTTCTTTATTCAGCTATTCAGAGTTATAAACGCTGAGACAGGAATCTGCATCCCAACTGAAAAAGTGCAGAGTTGAGTTTATTTCTGCCAACTCATTTTCAAAACAAACCAGCGCTTCTATGGCACAAGGACCCAATTTGGACAAAATGGATGCTAAATCAAGGTTAGCTATGCCTCGTGTCCTCAAGAGGAAGTTCAAATTGAAACGTTTGATCTGTCTGGGCCACTGTCGGGTCTGGATCTGCAGGGGTCAGCTGGTATCACGCCCTCTCTGTGATCTGGAACCTGACATGAACCCTAAATGACCATTAAGCAAATTAATTAAAGGCACAACATTATAAAAAATGACTCTTGTGAGCTTTAATTCGTGATATTATGCTGTTACCTCCTCAATAATAGACCTGAAGTTGTGTTTTGTTTTGTTTTTGTTTGCCGAAGTTGTGCGCCATACATGGACTGAACCAGGACTAAACCAGGACTAAACCAGAACTGAACCAGAAATGAACCAGGACAAAATCAGGTCTAAACCAGGACTGAACCAGAACTGAACTAGGAATAAACCAAGTCTAAACCAGGACTGAACCGAGGACTGAACCAGGAGGACTAAACCAGGTCTAAACCAGGTCTAAACCAGGACTAAACCAGAGCTGAACCAGAAATGAACCAGGACAAAATCAGGTCTAAACCAGGACTGAACTGAGGACTGAACCAGGTCTAAACCAAGACTAAACCAGGACTAAACCAGCTTTAAACCAGGTCTAAACCAGGACTAATCTTGGACTAGGACTTGGAGTCTAGGACCACCCCTGAGAGAACCCCGAGCCCGTGGAGCAGGGCGTTCACAAAGCACGATCAGAGCACATTGTTCGGTGCCTGTCCTTTCACCCGCGGTTACCCAACGGTCTATGCGGGTGCACCTCCAGGCCCGTCCTGACACACAGAACCGTAACTTTGGCGTTTCACCACAGCTGATATTGCGGTTATTTTAGCGAATTTGTATGAAGAAAAACCCACTTAAATCCAGGTTAAAAAAACATTGTAATGCACTTTACTGACTTTTATACTGAGTAAACTATTACAATATTTTTCCCTGTAATGCCTTACATTACTGCATTTCAGCAAAAAGCAAAGCATTCCAGTAATTTGTTATATTTATAACACGTTACTCCCAACACTGTTGAGTAATCCTTTATTATTAGTCAGTCTACAAAAATATTCTGCTCCACCTTGTCATGTAGTGGTAGTTTTCAAGTTGAGATTGATAAGTCCAGGTCTGAAATTACCCAAAAGGTGTTTGGAGTTTAAAAACACAGTGGAGCACTTTCTGTATGAGTGTTTTTGGTTTGAGAAAAGAACTGAAACAAAAAACAGAACTCCAGATATGTTTGTGACGAGGAAACAACATTAGAACATAGACCAGACCCTTAAAAATGTATACAAAATGAAAGAATCTGACTTTTTGTAATTTGCAGATTCAAAGGTGTGTTTCTAATGGCTCTTCCTGTTTACATAGGGTCTCGTCCAATCAGCTGCCACACAAGAAGTCACATGATGACATTAGCCTGATTACAGCGCGTCCCTTGGTGTGGTCTTAGTCTGGTGTTAGCCCAGTGACAGGAGATTAGCTGATACAGATTATCTCGCTAACAGTAGCCCGGGGTAAGCGGCTAACAGCTATTTCTGCTTCAGAAACATAAACCAACAAACCCCACGTGGACCCAGTTTAAATGGTTTAGGTGTGGGTTTTGGTTGGATTTAACCAGTGGAAAGTTACTGCAGTTTTAGAAACATGCTTTGTTTTGTATCTCCTGACTTGAATTGATCACCTTATTGAGTCTTGTCTAAACCTGAACTTTTAAACCCACATAAATGCTGTTTTTTGTTTGGATGTAATATGTATAATACAATACAAAAACATGTAACAAAGTGGTTTTAAAAGCCTGAATAAAGTAGAGTTGCACTGATTTAGCTTTTTCAGTTCTGCTACCGATATCTTTGACTTTACGTTATTGTCGATACCTGATATTAACCAATACCAGTGTAAGGACAGAAAATGGCACTTAATTCTTTAAAACTGATATTTTTTATACAAGAGAATTGATCCTAAATCATTATATAACAGCTTTGATTAAAAAAAAAAAACACACTTCAAACATTACAAGAGGTCGAGAGCCAAAATCAGTCTGTGATTATTTTTATTACATCCAATTAAATGTCCAAGCAGGATATCGGCTTATGCAGTATCATGGAACTGAAAACCAATCCAGCTAATTTTTTGCCAATATTTAATAGCCATATCTGTATTGGTTTATTCCTAAACCACATTAGAACAAACATTATAACAAGGAAGAATGGGGGGGCTTTTTTGTATTTGTTGTGGTGTTGTGGTTGTTGCTTTATGTTTTTGTTTTTATGTTGAATATTGCAATTGTTAAACGTTGATGTTTGTTTTTTTTTTTTAATGTTATGTTCTGCTGTCTTTAAAAAAAAAAAAAAAAAGTGTAAAAAACAAAACAAAAAAACAACAACATTATAACAAGGATTTATAAAACTTATCCAGATATTGCTGTTAATTTTTATTGTAGAACTCGCCTGATGAGTTACAGCTAGTGTAACCGGTTCTTATGATTATGTAATTAAACTAAATTGTTGTTTTAGTTTTATTATAATTGATTTGTTGATTAATTGATTGTTGAGAGCTTGATTTACTGCGTAGTCTTGGTTCTTGGTGCGACACAGAAATCCACCGGTCACACCAGCTACATATAAAGAGTCCGTGGTACTCTATATTCTGATCTCTGTTATGATGTTGTTTCCTCATCACAGACCTGGAGTTGTGTTTTGTTTCATTCACAAACTCTACATATTTAGCCCGAGTTCTTCTCTCAAACAGAAAACACTCTGTTCCCCCTTGTGATGTCATGTGGTAATATGGGAAGTGCCCCACTGTGTTTTTAAACTTCATACAATAGAATAATTTTGATGATTTCAGCCCCAGAATTACCGATCTCTATTGAACAAAAGGTAAAAGGAGATGAGATGTAGACAGACTGATAATAAAGGGTTATTCTAACATGTGTGAATGAAACAAAACACAACTCCAGGCATGTTTTTGATGAGGTAACAACATTATAACATGGCTTAAAGAGTCAGTTTAGTCTATTATATGACCTTTAACTGTATTTATTATAATAACGGAAGAAGATGTCGCAATCATTAACATCCTCTGTGAGGCAATGCAAACAGTGAGTAGTGGAGAACTGGGTCGAGTGAATAAATGACTGTTTGAGTGGGCAGTCTCTACAGCATGTTTCTGTGTGTGTGTGTGTGTGTGTATGTATGTGCGATGTGTGCGTGTGTGTGTGTGTTGTGTGTGGGACAGTGTTGCCATGTTAATGGTGTTAATGAGCGTGACCAAAAATGTGGGTCGAGTGAATGATCCCAAACAGAGGGGGCTGTGTAACTTAAGCTCACGCTGAGTTCGGTTCTGTTCAAGCTCCAGACATCCCATAATACTACTGCTACAACATCTACTGCTAATACTTTTACTACTACTACATCCCTAATAGTACAACTGTGAATAATAGGGCATTATATTACTTTTGTGTAAACTCCAGTTCTTTTATGGTTTCATGGATAGATATAGAACGTGTTTATTTGGTAACATGTCTGATTGATTTATAGCACATTCTGTTCTGTCTAAATTCTATTGCACCACAGGCGTACACTCTATGGAAACGAGGCATATGGGTTGTGTCTCCTTGTATCCCACTGTGCATTATTCCACCAACATTTTACAGGCTGTTCTGGCAAAAAGTACAAAAAATAGGATGAAAGAAATGCAGGATACATTTTAAGATTTTACATTCGTATAAAAATGTTGTACTATATCTATAACTGGGCACCAAGATGGATTCTGGCGACTTTGTGAATCCATAAATATCGCCAGAATCCATCTTACTGGCACCCTTGAGAAAACTGAAGACTAAATATTGTAGAAAATGAACCTGTCCACGAGTGTAACTTTACGTCATTGTGTTCTCCAGGTGTGTTCCTGATCCCCTACCTTCTGATCGTTTTCGTCGGTGGGATTCCGATCTTTTTCCTGGAGATCGCTCTGGGCCAGTTTATGAAGGCGGGAAGCATCAACGTGTGGAACATCGCTCCGCTTTTTAAAGGTACAACTACATCTCACATCACTTCTATTGTTACTATAACTATGGTACAAACTTAAAGACAGTTTGGTGATTCTGAAAATTCAAACCAAGGTGAGGCAGTGTTGTAGCAAGTAGATTGGGTTTAGATTTGGACGCAGTAAAAAGTGCTTTATCAATAATACATAATGCAGAAAAAAGGCATAATTCAGGTTAATCAATCAAGATGATACATGTCACAATAAACCAAGAAAATTAAAATTTCAGAGGCAAAATTAAGTCTTTTTTTTTTTTTTCTTTTTAAACCTTTTTTTTCCATAAAGGTTGTCACAAATTGTCATTATGGTAAAAGATTAAAGCTGACCTACTTAGAGCCTTTAATCAGGTTGTAGTTGTTCCCCCTTCTCATTTACCCTCTCAAAGTTGTATTTAACGTGATTCCTGCATGTTTGTGTAAACTTTATACTCCTCTATTCAAGACATCTTTGCTCCGATCAACCCACATTTTCACATGCCCACTGCTTTGTATTTACTTCGTTTTCCAATTTTATATTCTTAATCAGTGATACATGTAAGATTCACCCGCATCACATAGTCATTTTGGTAAAAATGAAAAATGCAACCCCACTGGGCTCCACAGATTCTTAACCATCAGCAGACTTCTTTCTTTTATTAAGTTGTTTTAGAGGAATATTGTGTTTCAAAATGTGATGGTGCCAGCATTCAGGGGTCTTTGTTTATTCTCACCATAATCTTAACACTATAAAAGTTTAGTCATGACACACCCCTCATCATTGTCAAAATACTGTCATAGTTATAAAATGAAGTGTGTTTTAAAGGTCCAAATGGCTTCAGCAATATGGTCCTATATTACGCAAAACTGACTCTTGTGAGCTTTAAAACATGTTATAATGTTGTTTGCTGTGGGTGAAAATTATGTATCTCTTGATGATAAATGCTGAATCCATTTGCAAAGCCCGGTGAGCTTTTGAAATACAGATAAAGTTTTATTCTTCTTACAGCAGATATGGACAGGGCCTAAGCCTGCCCAACAGCCTCTCGCGAGTCTCCTCTCATCAGTCACCCCTTTTCTCCATCTTTATTATGTATGTAACTTCTCCCCCCAGAGCTCAGATACTCTGGGGGGAGAAGTTACATACATAACAAAGCAGAGTGACTTTTGTTTCTCGGACTAATCATCTTACATTTGAGGACAATGTAAGTTACTAATCAACTTACTTTTGAGGACAAGTAGTACAACAAAGAGCCTCCTGAATGTGTGGACGGTTGTGTTTGATGAGCCTTTACACATGCTGATGACTGGGCCTAACATTCATTTATACAAAGACAGACTGCGAGAAATCTTCCTCCAAAGTAAATTTCCATTACATTGTAACCTCCTCAAAAACATACCTGGAGTTGTGTTTTATTTCATTCACACATGATTACTAAGGCAAGGCAAGTTTATTTGTATAGCACAATTCGTACACAAATTCAAAGTGCTTTACTGAATAAGAAATACATTAAAATCATAATAAAAACAAATCAAAACATAAATAATCATAAAAATTAAAATTAAATAAGAGAGACATAAATTAGAGAGAGGAGTGCAGAATGAAAACCTTTCAGTTATATGCACAGTCAAACAGAAATGTTTTGAGCCTGGATTTAAACAGCATCAAAGAAGAGTCTGTCTCACATGTTCAGGAAGACTGTTCCAGGTTTTAGCTGCATGAACCTGAAACGCTGACTCCCCTTGTTTAGTCCTGACTACTAATGCTTTATTATTAGTCTGCCTAAATCTCCAAAGCTCAAAATTCTCTGTTCCAACTTGCGAAGTGTTAGTTTTCAAGTTAATAGCTAAACCTTTTACCTTTTGTTCAGTAAAGATTGGCAATTCCAGGGCAGAAAGGATGCACATAAATCTAGTAAAGGAGTTTAAAAACACAGTGGAGCACTCTCTGTATTACACAACTCCAGGTCCGTTTGTGATGAGGAAACAGCATTATAACATAAACTAGCTCCTATTTTCAGTGGCGGATTCGTACTAAAACCTCGCATTTTATCAAGAGATTCTCATGGAACTTTCTTACATAATTAATCTGTTCATCCAAACGCAAATAAAATTCACTTGAACGTACACAGAGAACCATGTGAGCTGAGAGGAGAAGAGAGGAGAGAGCTTCCTATTGTAACACATGATACAGAACAAGTAAAAAGCCATTAGAGACACACAGACACACACACACATCCTTCCTACTGTAACACATATGCTACAGGCCCGTGGAAAAGGCCATTACATATTCACAACATGTGTTAAGTGTTTCCTCTGAGCAGTACCATACATAGCGTTATATAAAGGACACCGCGCCATTGTACGACTTTATCAACAGCTGATAATCTGACCTCTGCTTACTGTACGTGACCACCATCGCGTACTACTGTAATGTATACTAAAGGCAAACGGGCATATTAAAATTATTAGTCTGCCAATGTCTGTGTACGTGACTGCGGCTATGTACGTCAGTAATGTATGAACGTGACACCTAAAGAGTCCATGTTACGCTATTTTCTGATCTATTTCATAATGTTCTCATCATGTCCTCATCACAAACACACCTGGAGTTGTGTTTTGTTTCATTCACACATGTTTCACGCACAAACCCTGCATATTTACAATGAGTTCGAGGAGGTAACAACATTGTAACTTGACTTAAAGCTCGCCACCAGAATCAATTTTGTGTAACATAGGATCTTTCAGGAATGTATGCTACTAGAAAAATTGCAGATTTTGCAATTTGCTAATTGTCTTCATTCAAATGGCAATTTTCTATTACAATTTAAGACTCTTGTGAGCTTTAAGCCATGTTAGAATGTTGTTATCTCATAAAAAAACAGATCTGGAGTTGTGTTTTTACCATTTTGTGAGAAGAACTCAGCCTAAATATGCACTGTTTATGTGTTAAACATGTGTGAATGAAACAAAACACAACTCTAGGTCTGTTCGCGATGAGGAAACAGCATTATGACAGATCAGAAAACAGCATAATATGGGCCCTTTAATTTTGCAGCTGTTAATAGGTATGGCTGCTGTGGTTAGAGCTCACTCAGATGGCCAATGTCCAAAGGCTTTTTTTTTTTATTTTTGAATTACGTTTCGGCAAAAAGTCTTCTTCAGATATTTTTACTTGCCTTGTCATTGTTCTTGCTTTGGACCACAGTATACTTCTATACGCTCATGCTGTTTATAACTGAGGAAATCAGGAGTAGAGGACAAAGGGGGTGACACATACCTGGGATGAAACTACAAGAAATTTTTATGGTTTGAGGCTAAGTTTATATGATGACGGTCTGAACAGAAGACGCAAAAGTGGCGTCGTGTTTTCACTTTTTATTCCGTGTTTAGATGAGCATTTTCAGGAGGAAATCCGCGTGCATACGGTGACGCAAAAGTGTGTGGAATTTGATTGTGTATGCATGCCAGGTGGCTTGGTGGTGACACTAGGTGGTGATGAATGTTACGTAAACATATACGCAACGTGAGCAGATCTGAGTTTTGCGTCTTGGGCAGTGTAGACGGAAACACTACGGCGGAGCGTATTCAACTTTTCCACTCTGGAGGGTGGGTTCAGATTTGTGCATTTTTAAGCCCCAAAAATGCCTTCACCATCTAAACGAAAGGCACATCCAATAAGATATTTTGTTGTTTTTACCCACAAGCATTCTCATGTAAACAGGCCCTTACTTGCACTTTATTGATCCACAAGGGAAATTCTTTGGAGACATGGTAATATTATTTTGGACTACAGTATACTGTAGGCAAGAAAAATGATCTGACGAAGGCCTTTTGCCATAACATAATAACTGGACATCGGCCATCTGAGTGTGCTATGCATTTTTTTTTTCACTTTTAAAATAGCTTTTCCTTGCATTTGCACCTCTACAAGAACTTTGGCGCGCGTTTTCTGTTTCATTTGCTGTGATTAGAGCTACAAAGGTACAGAAGGCCTATATGAAGGACCGGAGAATAGACTTCTGAATGTAGAGGATGAGAAATTAATTTGAGTCAGTTCACTTGTTTACAGTCCCAGTGTGTTCTTTGAGTAAATGTGAGAATTGTCTGCGCTATGGCAAAAACAGTCTATTTACCTCTCAGTGCTGCAGCTGTGACAAGGAGCTTCTGTGTCCCTCTAATGGAACAAACTCCTCTGACGTCAGGGGTTACATTAGAACAGAATTAATTTTGTGTTTTCACTTTTTGTACCTTCTTTCGGTTCAAAACGTAACAAGGCTTTAGCACCAGTTTAAGCTGGTTTTAAAACGACTGGGAGAAACAAAACACAACTCCAGGTCCATTTGTGACGAGGAAACAACATTATAACATAGATCAGAAAATGGCGTAATATGGGCTCTTTAAATCCTGATTTGAACTTGGTATAGACCTGGTTATAGTTTAACATCCTTGTCTGATTGAGTAGTAGTTTTATAATCCTGCTTATCACTGTTTAGTTGAGTACAAGATATAAAAATTCTAATAATAATTAAACTTTGCTTTCATAATTACTCAATTTATGCAAGAATTTATATAAGAATAATAATATATAAGAAAAACTGTATTTTTTATGAGGTTTAATGCTCTTTCCCACAAACACCAAACATGATTTTATTTATTTCATTTATTTTATTTTCAGGGACAGCACATATTAATCAACATTTCTGTAAATATGCCAGAAAAGCCAAGAGAGGCTTTTCATCTGTAGTCCCATGACAGATGTTAATATTGGCCCAGAAACAAAATGATGATCTAATTTGGCCCATGTCAACCAAACTGTTATGAACGTTTACATGCACAATCAAAATGTGATTATGACCAGATTTTTGGAGTTATAATCTTATTAAAATGAAATCTTATTAAAATGAAAAGTAAACAGCAAAATAATCTGAGGCTGGTGGTTACTCACTTCAGATTCTGCAGTTTGCATGTCATTTAAATCATCTTAAAGCTCCAGAAATCAAATTAAAATCAGATTTCGTTGTGCATGTGAACTAAGACACTGATAATCTTACCTTATTTAATTAATAAATCATCACACACTTATGTAAGAGATAACTCTATGTCATATCAATTATTATTTAATCTTTGCGCTGTTTCTCTTTACGACCTCTTGTATGTAACGGAGATATATTTGTATGTTTTACTTTTACTTGTACATAATTATGCCTTATTTGACACCAGTCTAGTGTTATTTTTTTCTATGTACTTTTGTTATTATTACCGTTTATATTTTTGCTCTTTGTTATTATGACACTAGTATATTTCCCTTGTGGATCAATAAAGTGTGAGTAAAACCATAAAAAAAATTCTTCAGGTTTCAGTCCATCTCAGTTCCCTTGTAGGTGTCACTCCCACTTTGTCCTCATGTTCTGATTTCCTCCGTAATCGACTGCGTGAGTGTATAAAAGTGAAGAGCATGTAATGTACAATAAGTACTCAGTGTGCAGTAAAAGTGTGTACGCACTCACGGGTCAAATTAATAATTGACTGAATATTGCACTTCAAACTCTTCTTTATCAAACACAGGTGTCTGAGGGGCCTGATCTGATAAAATGGATCAGATCTGAGCCAAGATTATGTAGTCGTAGTAGTAGGTAATAGGTAATAGAAAACTACCACTGCATGACATCATAAGGTGGAACGGAGCATTTTGAGCTTTGGAGATGTGAAAGACTAATAATAAAGAGTTACTCAAACTTGTGTGAATGAAACAAAACACAACTCCAGCTATGTTTTTGATGAAGTAACAGCATTATAACATGGCTTAAAGCTCACAAGAGTTAATTTTGTGTAGTATTGGACCTTTAAACTGAATACGAGGATGCTAAAATAGATTATATAATATTATTGATTATATAATTGTCCTCACTGTATCTCCACAATGATAGCAAACGGTTCTTTGATTAAGTCAATAAAATAATTAAGTGCAGTATTAATAAGGCCAAACTTTGAAACTAGTTAAAAAATAATCAAACCATATCAAATTTGCTTATGTGTAATGAACACTTTGAATTAATGAGTTTACTGGAATTTTAATGGTAAAGGGCAAATACAGCACGACACAGCCGGTACCAAGCAAAAAAGTCTTGCACTAAATGATCTAAATCCTGAGGCATATTTATAAATTCATTTCTTTAAAGTGGAACTAAACTCTAAATCCACTAAACTGTCTATATGGGGTTTGAATAGCTTTATCTGTCTCTGTCTCAAGATTGTCATTTGTTATTGTCAGAGTTTAAACTTTGGAGCAATAAACAGAGTCTATTTTTTCACGTGATACTTTTACTTGAGTATTTTGTTTCTATGGAGATGTCATTGCTCTACCTAGAATGTTTCACAGTATGACATTAAACAGCTCTACTTTACATTTATTCAATTACAGGTGATTTTATAGCTCAAAAAACTTTTAAGAAGAGACATTCTGACTGTTAGCGAGGGTGCCTCTCCACAGATTTAACTTATAACTTCTGGTTTCCATGGTTATGGTTTGGTTTCCATGAAGATAAAAAGGTTTAATGCTATTCTCTGAAACATTTCTGACAAAGAATTAATATGTTCACGATGGACACTCCACCAGAAAAGTTACACAATGCACCTTTTAATCAAGGTCGTCATTTCAGAGTTCAAGCTTTGGAGGAATAGAAGTAGATTTTTCTACTATGATTCTTTTACTTTTACTTGAAAATGTTTTGCTCTGGTATCTGTTCTTTTCTTTAAAGGTCTATATGCTTGTCTCTGTAGAAATGTTATTGCTTTGTCTAGAGTCTGTCACAGTATTGAATTATGGTATTTTTGAGCAATAGAAACACCTGGAATGAATAAACGCGAGATGGATATGTTTAAAGTCCTACAATTGAGCATTCCAGGCAAAGCAATAACATCTCCAGGGAGAGAAGTAGGTAGCAGGGCCTCTACCAGAAAGGTTGAGCAATGCACCTTTAAATAACACAATTGAGTACTTCTTCCTAGGGTGACCAGACGTCCCTTTTTACTCGGGACAGTCCCAGTTTTGAGCCCTGTGTCCCCTGTCCCAGCAGATTTATCCAAAACCAGTGATTAGTCCCAGTTTTATACAAGAAATGTCCAAAGTGTCCCTATTTTTGACCAATCTGATCTCTGCTAACAGTAAAGAGAGGAATACATGTTCATTTGTTTAGGTAAAAGACAGAAACACTGCTTAAAAATCACCAAAACACTAAGAAAATGTGACTATGCTGACTCACACGGGCCAAGTGCATAACAATTTTCCTTAATTACTCCTTTCACAATTTTATTATTACCAACCGACCCAAACCGGGAGTGTCCCAGTTTTTTATTTTGAAAATCTGGTCACTTCTTCCACCACTGCGCTTATACAATTAGTATACAGTTTTACTCTACCCACCTGTCCTTTCTGTACATAAAAAAACACTCTCTAACCTCACATTTTGTTCTTGTGTGTCTCCTCTCAGGTCTGGGCTACGCGTCCATGGTGATCGTCTTCTTCTGTAACACCTACTACATTATGGTGCTGGCCTGGGGCTTCTATTACATGATCCACTCGTTCACGTCCACTCTGCCCTGGTCCACCTGCGACAACCCCTGGAACACGCCCAGCTGCAGCGAGATCTTCCAACAGGCCGCCTGCAACAACAGCCACACCAACGGCAGCATCGTTAACTCCACCTTGGTTAACGTGAGCATCGCGGCCAACCAGACCTGCGAAGTGGGCCGCTCCCCCATCATCGAGTTCTGGGAGTGAGTATGACATTAGCTTTCATCCACTTTACTCTTTAGTGCTTTTTTGTTGTTTTTAGCTTCACACAAATGTCTTCTCAATTGAATCGTCCAGCAAATGTAGTTTTAGTGCCCTCGGCTGAAGTTAACTGGGGCCACTGCTCTGTCTGAAGCCCTGTTTCTCAAGTTAGAGTTAGTTTGAGCTTTGTTTTAACACAGTCTGGCCAGGATGAGGGGATTTAGCTAGAACTACAACAAATGAGATGAAATAAATGGGGCTATGATGAACTAACCAATATGGAGTTTTTTGCAGCCGATATGATACCGATAAAACAGGAGTTAATAATAATGAATAATAATAATGCATCAGTTTTATATAGTGCTTTTTTGGACACTCAAAGATGCTTTACACAGCATTAAGTTGGAGGCGCCAATAGCTGATATATTTAGTGTTGTAAAAATTCACTATAAATCTTCAATTGATTATAAAACTTAGGTTTTGTTCTATTGGGTTTTAAATTGGGTTTATTTAGGCTACATTTATTGTTTTTCTGCCTCTTTACAGTCATATTTAAAGACAGTAGGATGGCCTAATGGTATTTTGGCATCACATTCTAGCCAGTAAAATAAGTAAGTAAACTTCCTCTATCAGCCTTTAGTGGTAAATGCGTGCATGCCGCGGTAATTAATTATACGTGTAAATGCAGATCATTCACACCTCTATTCACAGCTCATTTACATATCATTGCAGGTCCAAAAACATATACACAGCCACTATTGTCACTATTGTCACTTCATACTAGGCCATGTCAGAGAAAACAGGCAGTTTATGTGTGGGAGCTACAGCAGCTAAACAATGAGAAAGAACCAAAACTATCTTCAAAAACGACACATTTGCAGCACTCACTGCTCACACAGACACCTCAAGTCTTCACTAATAAGTGTCCTTTCAATCCTGACTCAAAAAGATTGTTCATAAAAAGAATATAATCGAACTTGTTGACAGCAGCTCTGTGTGTAAACAAACACACGTGAGTGACATGAGTCTGAGGGTGCGTTCAGGGGCAGTACAGCGTCACAGACATGGACATGACTCCGTAGATAAATATTGATGCAGTGCCACATATTTGGACATTTATCTGTCTCTAAATTGGATTAAATGGACATAATATAGAGAGTCTAAGCTTTATAACGAGATGTAACATGCCCTTGTGGACTATCAGCCCATACCGGCAAGATTTAGGCCGATAGCTGATATGTCTCTTGAGTTTTCAGATTATCTTTAAAACTTTTTTGACACCGTTTATTAATGTGTGCATTGTATCGCTATAGCAACTGCTGAACATTTAACTATAGACACTCATAACACCCCCAGAGTGATATCCTTGCTTAAAAGAGCCTTTGTCTATTGATACTTGGAAAAGTTTTACAGTATTTCCGAATGACATACATTTTTTTTATGACATTGTAAAGTTATACTGCAAGAAATACCAAGGTTATTGCGTTCAGAAGCTTGACTTTCACCTGTGCCCTTATTAAGACTATTTGGATGCTGAATTGTAAGAATGGTAAAATATATAATGAACATGTAACTTAAACAAACACACAAACCGAGCCTAAATTACATGTTAAAACAGTATTGGTAATCTTCTTCCTGTTTTCTAAATCAGTTTAGATCTATTTCTGAAGTAGATCGTAAAATCGAGAACGTAAACAGCTCTGACCCACTTAAAAACCCTTTAATCTTATACAGGCTTTAAAGAGTTAATTTTAACTTAAACATCTCAAGAATCAGACTGTAAAATGTATAGATTTCACAAACCGACTTGACTTACACAAGGGTCAAAAAATGTATGTGGAAACTCATTAAAGTATTTCAGGCTCTGCTAACTGCTGCAAGTTTGAGGTATTCTGGTTTTTGGGTAAGTCCGTTAGTCCAATTTAAAGGTGCAAGGTGTAACTTCCATCAAATGCTTTTCTCAGTGGAGATATTCTTGCTTTGTCTGAAATGTTTCGCTGTATGGCATTAAACCTCTCCAACCAAGTTACAGGTCAAATCTGTGGAGAGGCGACCCCGCTCATAGTCAGAATTCCTGTTTTTCTAGGTATTTTTGAGCCGTAAAACTACCTGTAATTGCAAAAATATAAGGTAGAGCTGTTTAATGTCATACTGTGGAACTTTTCAGGCAGAGCATCTTCATAGAAACAAGCAGGTGATGGACCCTCCACCAGAAAAGTTACACAATTCACCTTTAAAATTTTGGTGAAATACAGTGACAGAGAAAGACAGATAAAGTCGTGATGCAGACCTTCATTTTGCAGCAGTACAAAACAAAACAAAAATACAGATTACAAGCGTGTAGATCATGACCGAAAGGGTTTAGGCTTAAGTAAAAAGTACAAGATATAATGCCAAACCCTTTTAAGACAGCATTCGAAGAAAGAAAGCAACGTGTGAACA